CACAGCTGAATGCATTAATTGTGAGAAGTTGAGAAAATAAAATGAAAGTGGGTGATGGAATAAGGAAATGCAACGTATAGGTAATCTGCCAAGGAAGTGTGCCTTCTGGAAGGAATTTTGATGGGAAACTGTTTCCTATTTAGGTGTGTTAGACACATGAAGAAAACAGAAAACTTCATGTGGTCAGCTCATAGTCTTACATGAACCTAAGATCAGCTATCTGTAGTTGTGGTTTTTATCCACTTTGCCATTAGTGAGTGAAAGTGAAATAGAATTAGAGCAAAAGATATTAATATTTTGTGGTATTATAAAACTTCTAAATTTATGACTGGATCTGAAGTTTTATAACAGAAAATCATTAGAGAAAAAAATTATTACACTTAAAAATATATTAATTAATATAATATAATGAATATCATTATAGATTCTACATGTAATATTATGAATTAGTTGATAGACTTCTTGGCATTAGACTTGACCAAACCATTAACATTGTAAAATTTTTAAAAATTTATAAGAGATTTTAAAATACAGTTAAAGTATAATGTAAATCTATCATTCCATGGAAAATAAACCCAGGCTAATTTTGATTATCTTAGCATATTTTCACAAATTGACAGGCATGTCACATATAAAAGGGGGAGGCAGCATGCTGATTAAACTAACTAAAATATAAAATTAATCAGATCTAACAATTAGTTGTTAATGAAACACTAAAGAAAACATTTTTTTGAGTACAGTAAAATAATAACATTGTAATTTGACTGACTTAAAATCAGAAAGAGTGTTTTTGTTTACAAGACAATAAAACCATTAACGACTTATTGACATTAGTAGTTAGTCAGTGTGGGCTACTTTGAACATCTATCTGACCTTAAAAATAACACCTTTCTCTCAAATTTCACACAAAGCCAATGTTAATCTGTGTAAGTTGAGATAATTTATGGGGAGTACAGTAGAGCGTCAATTATCCGAATCAATTGAGACTGGGGTTGTTCGGAAAATTGATTTTTCTGATAACCGATTTTGTACAAAAAAATACATTATTAATATAGTATATTAGTATATCCCAATAATAGTATATTAGTATATCTCATGTTAAAATTTTTCTCTGTTGTGTGTCACTTCGCATTGAATTTTCGTCAATGTTAAGCCTAATGTAAATTTTTATAATAATAATCATGGCTATTGTATCATTAAAAATTATTTCTTTATTTTGTACAAACAAAATAAATATATTGAAAAATATAAAAACAAAAAAAATTATACTTTAGAAGTTAATCTAGTATCAAAAACGTTCGATTCAGCACGACACAGTCCGACTGGAATGCTTTTGGTTAACTGACGTTTCAGTTGATTGACATTCGGATAATCAATGCTCTGCTGTATCTTAAATGTAACCTTGTGATGAATGGCATTTAAAAATCCTGGGGATGAATGCCCTGCATCTGACAGATCCACGTGAGTAAACTTGTACATATTTTTCCACAATGTTTTTTAGCTTACAAAAAGTATCAATTATACTTATAGAAGGTGTTTTAATAGATGTAAAAGCCTTTTTTTTCAATAATCTCAACTTTTTCCTAAGATATATCAAAGAAATCATTATATTGTAATATAGCAGTATGTTCACTGCAAGCAAAATATGAATGTTTCATACAGAGATCAAATCATGTATGATGATAATATAATTGTTCACTAGACACATAGTATTAAACCAATAAATTATGTAAACAACTAACTCAAATAAATGAAACACACATGTATACAAAGCATTAAAGAAGACTTACACAAATGAATAACCTGGGTTTGTCAGACCCAAATTGTCTGCTAGCCATGGCAGAGTAAAATTATTCAATTTGAATTTTACATAAATTTGTAGTATCACCCTAAGTAGGAAGGTATGCAATATGAATTGCCTACCTGTATAAATATGTAACAAATATATACTGCAAAAGTCATGTGGATCTGCAAGACCCAGACATTCACTGCAGGTTAATATGTTTATTTTTGCATTTTGAATCAAATAACAATAAAATACATATAAAAAAGTACTTTTGTAATTCCATGAGTATTTTATATCATTAGAATGAAGACAAAATGAAAAAATTTAAAATATAATCATAGGTTTTGATGTAATGCTGACAGTTTCACATTTTTAGAATAAAAACTCGTTTGTATGTGACATAACTCGTTTGCTTTTTTTTTTTAATGTGCTCTCTAGAGAGTGATCTATAACCTCACTTAAAACAGCATGCTGGCATTCCTCTGGGACAAACTGGCATGTCTGTTTTTATCATACAGAAATATCTGATTTTATGGTATCCCCTGGATAGACCAGCATGCCGGTCATTCCACAAAAATATGGTATATTTGGTAGACTTATGTAAAAAAATATAACTGTATGTTGTTATAAAGTAATATACAAGGGGAAACCCAAAAAAAGCTGGATTTTTTGTATAAAAACTTTATTTATTAACTTTTTTACAAAATTTCTTTAGTCACCTTCAATAGATTAGATGCGATGTACTTGTGAAGTCTTTTTCCCCACTGTTTGAAGCATCTCTGGCACTCTTCAACCTTGATATCATCCAATGCCCTTAACGAAGCTGTTTGTACCGCCACCACATATCAAAACACTTCCCTTTTAGATTTTTCTTCATTCTTGGAAACAGGAAAAAGTCGCACGGGGCTAGGTCTGATGAATACAGAGGGTGGGGCGTACTGTTTGGTCTCTTGGGGATGACAGGCCATCCCCAAGAGGCCAAACAGTGGGTCACTCGTACGTCCGTTTGTGCGGGGTCGTCGTCGTGATGAAGGAACCAGTCACCTGATCACCAAAGTTCTGGACGTTTCCTTCGCACATCCTCTTGCAGATGTCGTAACACTTTTTTGGCAGATTTTTTCAACGTTTTCATCGTTTTGAGATGTTGAAGGATGCCCAGAACTTCGCAGGCGGAACAAAATAACAGTAAGAGAAACATAACACTACGTAAACGTAAACCTACAAACTGATGCCGTTCGCACAGCTGTTTTGTGAAGGTCTCTACTAACCCCATGTAACGAGAGAATTCTCTACTATGTCTACAAATGGCAGCGCGCTCTCAGTTTAGTTTGTTTTTGGGTCCTCCCTTGTATTATTATGTTTTGGATGAGCATTATTTACATGTTTTAAATATATCAGGTAACCAAAAAAGTTCTGTCGTTTTTTTGTCGAAAGAAAACAAATATAAAAATGTATAGGAAATAACACAATTTATTCATCAAAATAACAACCCTCACATTCAATAACCTTTTCCCAACGAGAAACAAGCTTATAAATTCCATTTTTATAAAAGTCACGATCTTTAGAGTTGAAAAACTTCCCTAACTCCGTTTCTATAACCTCTCTATTTCTGAACTGTTGATTTCGCAGATGATTATATAGGCTTAAAAATAGGTGATAGTCAGAAGAGCTAATGTCAGGGAAATAAGGAGGGTGCAAAAGAGGTTCCCATCCAAGGGTCTGAATTGTGTCAGAGGTCACACACGCAACATGATGTCTATAGCATTATCGTGTAGGAAAAGAACGCCTTTACGGTTTACTAAAGCTGGCTGTTTTTTCAAAAGTGATTGGTGAACTCGACGGAGTTGGTCACTGTAGATGTTAGCAGTAATAGTCTGTCCAGATGGTATAAGTTCATAGTGAACAATTCCGTTTGCAGTCCACCATATGCACAATATTGGCAGGTGTCAATTGATGAGATATCCATTTGCTGAGCTTGTAAACTTTTCCAAGACTATGCAAATGTAAACGGACAGTTTCATCACTTACAGAGAACTTTTGTGCTAATATCTGACAAGTTTGAGCGGAATCTTCTTCGATTGCAGCCTGTAATTCATCATTATTAATGACATATGGCCGCCCTTCTCGTGGCGCATCTTTAAGCGACTCATCACAGGAAGAAAATTTTCTAAACCACCTTTGGGTGGTGCGAGTGCTGATAGAACCTTGTCCGAAAACCTGGCATATTTTTTGAGCCATTTGCACGGCATTTTTTCCAAGTTTAAACTTATACAACATACAAGCACGAATTATAGAGTTTGGAGTACTCATCTTCAGGTCAATTTTTATAATATTAAGAGATAACCTTTCCGCTTCTCTTTATATAAGATGAGTCAGAATTAAATCTTAATTAACATATTGCTGGAATTTTAGTGCCATCTATTGTGTATTGCGTTTAACATTCTTTAAACTTTGTAGTTTCACAAAAAACGACAGAACTTTTTTGGTTACCTAATAATTTAGATGAACCATCTGAAGTGTATGGAAAATATGATATTGAGTTTATTAAATTTTACAATACACAGTAAAAATTACTTTATTGAAAATGTATTTTTTTTTTAAATTTTATGAAATTATTTTTATTAAAAGAAAATGGGAAATTTTATTGTCTTCCAATTATATTAATAATTATGTGAAAAAGAAAAACATACATTGACAAAGAAATAAAATTGTAAATATATAAAAATACTTAACATGCATAATTCAAATTTCTTACATTTAAATTTAAATTTTTGCTGTTTAGGAATTGTTAAAATGGAAGATGATGCACCTATTATTTATGGTTTGGAATTTCAGGTAGCTTTTTTATATTAAATTTTATATTTATTTCATTTTTGTCATGTAGTTTAAATATAATCAATTGTAGTTTAAATTTAATTAAATATAATAAGTTGAAAAAATTGTAGACCTATAAATTCCCACTGTTGTCTGTTCATGTTTATCTATACTTTATGAATAGAGGGTAGATAGAAATATAATTTTGATAATATAACATGGAAAAGTTTCAGAAATGTTATGATAATATTCATAAATTTCTCATAAAAAAGTATTGTTTAGTAAAATTAACAAAAAGATATACTTAAATAACCTTGTGAATACATATAATACAGAAAGTCTGTGCAAAAATATACAAGTAATTTTCTCATACATTAGAAATAGAAGAAAAGCTTTTGAAAAATTGATTTGATGTACAAATTTTTAGTTTTTTGGTGCAAAAACAAAATTTTTCTGTTTAAAAAATTCCAATACAACATTTACTCATGTCAACAAAAAATTGTTGCTTGTAATAAAACAAGATGAATTATGAATGTGATTTCTCTTACAGGAACTGAGATAATCATGTATAAACAAATATATTTCTGCAATGATAGTTTGCCAGCAAAGATATAATCATGTTGGCACTGAAACTAATTTACTGAAGCTGCTTTTTTCATATGTTTGAAAAAATTGTAGACCTATAAATTCCCACTGTTGTCTGCCCTTAATCTCCAAAAACAGAGTTAAATAGATGAAAAATGAGACCAGATATGGAGACCTTAGGGGCAGGAGACCCCAATTAACTACATACAAACTTCTGATGCAAACTGGAAGTCATGTTATTTCAATTCAAAAATTTTCCCCTGAAAGGTGTTAGATAAATGAGCGACATGACTCTGTTATTAAAGGAAAAGTATGATGTACAGGGCAAGCCACTACTAATTTTAGGTGGCAAGCATATATATTAAATTATATAAATTAAAAATATGATTAAAAATTGCAGCCTGGCATTGTGACAATGTCATAGTAAATAATTGGTTATTTAATATAACTGTTATATAGTATTTACTATTGTTTTTACAAATGTTAATTTGTTAATTTAATTTCAGAAATGCTATAAAATGAAAATATTGTATTTTTATTTTGTTAATAGATTTATAAACAAATTTAAAGGACAAATAAGATAACATTGTCTCTGTAGACTAAACTTTTTTCTACAAGGTACTTATTTTGTTATGTAGGCCTATTTAAATTTGTTGGAAAAATTTTATCATTTAATTGAATCTGGAAATTGGTAAAGAAAATTGGCAAAGAAATTGATAGCAAATTTATGACTGTCAAATATAGATGTGAGGGCCAGGATTTCGGAAGGCCGAGATTCGAATAGTTATATTCATTTTGTTTATTCATTTATCGTTTTGTTTCAAAATCAAACTGATTTTTTTTTTAGTTAGGGTTAACACAAAAAGGGAAAAACAACCGACAAATTATCTCATAAAAATAGCTCATAAAAACTTCGTTCCCATGACAATACTTCCCTGTAGAAGATGAGTTAACTGTTGTGTCATAAGTTTGTCACTTCGCCCACCATTAGTCAACGAAGATCATCACCTGTGACGTACATGGGGAAATCTCGAAAAGAGAGCCCCCATATAAAAGACAAGTGTGATGACGACACGGGGGGAAAGTTATTGTTCTGTACTCTGTGTGTGTGTGTATTATCTGCCTCTCGTCACCACCATCCTCGATAGAACTATTCTGCGATTTGCGGACTTACGTCGACTCACAACGTAAGTCCGCAAATCGCAGAATAAGTGCGATTTGCGGTTTCGTTGGCCAACGGTCTTCACGATCTTAAGAATCCGTAATGGAGGCGCATGTCGGAAATCCAGGAGGAGCCGCGGGAAGTGGAGCCAGTAATCCAGGAGGAAGCGCACTCCAAGGCATATCCGGGATGATTCCCCTAATCTTTACATTTTCGGGTGACGCATCGGGATTGCGCATTAAGGACTTTTTCGACTCGCTAGACAAAATTGCAAAGCTAACCGGATGGACAAAGGCTCAATGTCTAGGAATCGCAAAATTAAAAATAACGGACATCGTGAGGGACTACGCATGGAACGACATGCAAATGCGAGCTATCGAAATGTACGATGAGTTCAAAAAACAAATGACGCAGCGATTTGAAAGAGAACCCTATTCTTTCAGACTCCAAAATTTCCACACATGCATACAAAAACATGAGTGAGGCGTTCTCACACTCATCCACCAAGCAAGCCCTGACGAATGAATTAGACCGCATCAAAAAAATAGCAACTGTATACGGCTTCCCGAACATAACGCACCGCTTAATTGAACAGTACCAGCACCGGAAACGCACCCTAACCGCAGCGACCGCCGCCGACCCGCAACGGGATAACCCGACACGGATCCCCATCACGTACAACCCACACCTCAAGACTATACATAGAAGAATAGCCAAAGAGCACGGGATTCGACTAGCATACAGAAGATGCCCCACGATTTTCCGCATCCTAAGGAACGATAAAGACCCTCCCGATCGCACCAGACTCCCCGGTATCTACTCTATCCCGCTCCATGACAATAGACAAAACGCAGAGCTACTGTACATCGGCTCAACCAAACGCTCTTTAAGCACCCGCCTACGTGAACACCAAGCGGATATCCGGCACGGCAGGCTGACCACAGCCCTAGCCACTTATGCATCCGACCCCGAAGTCGAGGTGCACTTCGAGAAGGCTACCATTATTGTCAACACGCCCCACCAACAGCAGCTTAGATGGCTGGAAGCCGCGGCTATCCACAACGCCGACCGGCTAACTACCTGCATTAACCGGAAAGAGGAACTAACCTTGTCTCTGGCCTGGCAATCGCTATTGGACCCAACCCACCGCTTCCTCCCCCGCCGCACGACCGCACACACCGGAAGAGACCCACCCCCTCGAAACCGACACCCGATCCTAGAGAATAATATACACTCCGTCCGGGGAATTCTTTCAGTTGACCTGAAGAAGAGCGATTGGAACGTTCGAAAACGTTTGTCAGGATATTTTAACATATACGCACAGAACACCGGTCACAGGTTCCATAGTGTGACGCTACTTTGATAGTAAGGTTACCAAGTAATGTGCAATCAGTTAACATAAGTACCAAGACTTTTTGCTAGTCTACTTTGAACATACTTTGCAATCTTTTATAAATTCTAAAGTTGTTCCACAACTTATGTAATATGCAAATTTCAGCAACATTAATGCCAAATTTTCTCCATCAGGAAATTTTGGAAGTAAACTTTTTATTTGTAAAATTGAAATATTATGGTTGGGCGAATATGAATATCAGATTTGATTACATTTGTTTAATAGTTCTCTGCATGGAGCTTTAAACTAAATTCGCCCATTTAATTGTAACTGTCTAGTATATTGAAAAAATAGCTTTAATAAATTGTAAAAAAATGGGTGTTACTGCCAAGTTAATTCTGATCTTGAGGGGGAGTTATCATCAAGAAACGTTTTTTTCATAACTCGTCAGAGACTGCATTGAATATGGTCGAAAACGTTTGAATTTATCTATTAAATTACGGTTGCATATGTAAAAGTTTGTTTGAGTGTATTTATTTTTTTCATACTTAACTACTGTATTGGTTCCTATAATAGATGTCATTTTTATTTTTTTGTATTTCTTGTTTCATTTTATATAAAAACTTTTCTGTTGACATTTATAAATTGGAATTTGTTAAAGAAAGAAAATTTCTAAATATCAATTATATCTTATCTCCCTTAAACATTTTTGTATAGATGCCTTTATTGAAGTAAATAAATGCATGCAAGATATGATTATTACAAATAAATTGATCTTTTAATGCTGATGTCTAAGTGTGGCAAAGTAAATGCAACAGTAAATGTCAGTGACTTTTAATGTTGTTTTCAACTATTGTTGCTTTAGTGATTCCCATTGTAACATATTTTTTGGCAACATCCAATCACTGATGGTTCAACAAGAGAGAACTTGGGAGAAGATTTTGGATTAAGTTTCTCTCTGTATAATTTAAACAAAACAATATACAGTAGAGTGTCGATTTTCCGAAAGTCAACCATCAGAAACGTCAATCATCCGAAAGAATTCCAGTTGTCAAATTTAAATTTTCGCCAGTGCTATGGCACTTCAATCTTTGTCTATGTCTTGGGCTACTCAAATATTTTACGTTTTTGATACCAAATTAACATCTGAAGTATAATTTTTTATTGTTTTTATATTTTTCAATATATTTATTTTGTTTGTACAAAATAGAAAAATAATTTTTTACGATACAATAGTCTTCGTTAGGCTTAACATCAATGAAAATTCAACGCAAAGCGACACGCAACGGAGAAAAATTTCAACATCGGATACGTTAAACTATTTTTTCGTACATAAATCGGTTATCCGAAATATCAGTTATACGAACAACCCCAGCCCCCAATTGATTCGGAAAATCGACGCTCTACTGTATATATAAAAAAAGATCTTACAACTTTGATTAATATTTCATTGAACATTTTTTCACATTATCTGTTTTTATTAACACATGAAACATTGTGAACAAAAACAAGATACCTTTCTATTGTGTGATTGGTTGTTGACATATGTCACTGCCATTGAAGTATACCACTATGACTAAAAAAAACTGGGGTTCAGCAGTTGACAGAATTTGACCTTGATGCTAACTTACTCATTAATTTTGTTGCCTGTATCCTTCAGGATGAATTAAGACACTTCTGTTACAAAAGACTTAGTTTTCTTGCACACAGCACAAACAATAAAATGTGTATTTCTTGTGTGTTCATTCATATATTCTCATTAATTTCTCTTGTTTCTTTATAATGTGTATTTTTCTATGTTTTCTTGCTGCATTCATTATTGTATGTTGCTCATGCATCAGTGTACAAGGACTGCACTGTGCATCCTATATATTATTATTATTTATGTATTAGTTAACAAATATGTGCAATGTTTTTTAAATCAAATTATTATTATATTTAGGCTCGAGCACTTTGTACCCAGGTAGCTGAAACAGAAATTGCACGTTTTTTTGTAGGAACGCAATCACTCAAATTTGAAAATCAGGTATTCATTTTAAAAATTATTTATTTATTTATTTTTTAAATTCCAATAATGAATTGTATATTGAATGGAAAGTTACATGTAAATCTTCAATATAGTACTTTCCAGTACTATATTGAAGATTTTACATGTAACTTTCCAGTAAATTGAATATTTCAAATTATTTTTCTTAGCTTTTATCTCATGCATTTTTTGATTTTGTTTCTTTTTTAGTAGTTAGCTATGTCATATAAGGAATTAATTTTAAGACAAATAAAGCTTTTAAGATAAAAATTTGAAATATAGAATTTATATAAATATACCTATAGCCCAATTTTTATATAAATATAAATATACCTATAGCTAAACATATGCAACTATCAAAATATTTTTGGGTTAGAATTAAGCTAATTATTGATAGTTTAAATTATGGAATATGAAATAAAGGTAGACAGTTAAGTCACCATCTTGTGATAAGGTTAATTAAAATTAAAAGTAATTGCTAATTATTAATTTTTAAGTAATGTAATAGTTTAATGAACTAACTGTAAACAAATTCTATACTTTAATTCTAGCTCAAAACTAATTTTATAGAATTCTTTGATATACTGAAATAGATTTAATTGAATTTTTATACTTTAATTAATAGATAATTTACAAAAAATTTTGTTATATTTACAGAGTAAATTTTATGTCAATTAAATATAAATTTTGATACTGTAAAGATGATATATTTGCAACTACAAAAACAAAAAAATTATTAAAGTTCAAATAATTACATATTTATACTGTGTCGTAGTTTAACCAGCATGCCAGAAACCCTGGAGGTACCAGCATGCTGGTCTTCCCTATTTATATGTGGCATGCTGGTCAATTTGCAAAAATATGGTACGATGTATGCCGTATACAAAAAATTATAAAAATCCAAAATATTAAAATATTAATATTAATGATTGATTTTATTAATGTATTGAATTTGATGGCTGGATGGTTGAGGCTGTTAAGGCATCAGCCTACTACTTTGGGGACCTGGAGTCAAATCCGTGCAAGTAACTTGCTAGGAGTAGTCTGTTCTTGATTTGTGGGGCCTTGTACTTTGCCACCCTTGTAGTGTTAGTGTCTGGGCCCATAACCTGTGGTTAATTCAGAATCAGTGGAGAGACACTCNCATTAAAAAGCTTTTAGTATTCACAGGATGGAAAAAGAGAAAAAAAGTGTATTAGATCTTATGGGATTTGAAGTTAATTTAAAAATTACAAACTTGTAACCTAAAAACTTTTATTTGGCTTATTGTTGAAAATTTAGAAACATTAGAATTTCCATAACTATATTGCATTTGTTAGATAAATTTGATAGCATATTCATATAAATGTATTTAATTTTATAATTTATATGTTACATTTTATATTTTAGATTCATCAACTAGAATATGATGAAGAAAATAGCATATTATCCAAAAGAGTATTTCTACATAGTGCAGGCGAAATTTGGCACATAGCATCATCACCAGTTAATTCTGATTACATTTCAACTTGCTATAATCATCTCAGTAAATCTTAAAATAAATATGGATTTTTTTTTTGTAAAATATATAATGCTGTATTTTTTAATTTATTTAAAATTTAGAAAAAGCTAAATATTTTTTTAAATATGAGATTTTAAGTAAATTTCATTTTTAGCTTCAGATGGCAAATGTGAGATGGAAGGAGCAATTTGGGCAATTCCACCATCTAAAGAAGGTAATGATAGTCCTTCAGATGAGAGTTTAACCACAGTTTCATCAGTAGAATTAGTGACGAAGTTAGAAACAGCATCCTATGGAAGTGATGTGAAAAGGTTATTTAAATTTATTTCTTGTATCAGATATGTTCTTTAATGTCTGTAATGTACTTGTAATGTAATATTATGTAGAAGTTTTAAAGTGACAATATATTTTTTAGCATTGTATGGCATCCTGTGGAAGGAAATCAATTAATTTCTCTGGTTGATGAACATATTTTATTGTGGGACGTTGCAAACAATAGCCAGGCAAAGGTATGTATATGTTTTATTGATAGAAATGTATATTTAACATAATATGCTTTGAAGAAGAAATTTTTATATTAAAAAATTTTTCTTTTAAAATTTTTAAATTGAAATTTTTTCTCATCCATGCAGTTTTAATTAACAGATTATGATTGACACATTGACAGATGATCAGAAATGCTTGAATTTTTTACAGATTGAAATAAATATACTGTATTAATTCTAATAAACAGCATAACTGCAAGATGAAAAACATTATAGATAGCACCTTCTAATAGTAAGTGTGCTGTCTATTGGAAGAATCTATTGTCTATCTGCATTTGTTCCATTGATAGTTTCCCTTGAATAATAGTCACACCCAATCTTCAAAGAATAGAAATAATAATTTCTTTCTTCTGTCTAATAAACGGTGCAGTTGCAAGCTGAGCAAAGTTATAGACAGTATACAACTTATTACAATAATTTAAGTAAATAGACACAATAAAAATGGAATAATCTTATATTTAAACATCAAATAAAAATAATTGCTTTAGTTTGCTCAATGTTAGCATGGTGATAATTAAACATTATACAATAGAGCCTCGATTATCCGACTCAATTGGGGACTGGGGTTGGTCGGATAATTGAAAAGCCAGATAACCGAAAAGTATGAAAAAATCCATTATTAGTGTAGTATATTATTATATCCCATGTAATTAGTATATTAGTATATCGCTATTAACCTACTTTGCGTTGAATTTTCATCGATGTTAAGCCTAACAAAAACTTTTTTAAAATAATAATCATTGTTATTGTGTCGTTAAAAATTAGAAAATTAAGCTTCGTTTAAACACTGGCTCCCTTTCATGGTCGAGCCATGTTGCCAGCTAAAACACGTAAAAATACTATTAAAGTAGCCAAGACATAGCCAAATATTGTAGCGCCACATTACTAGCTGACATTTGAAATTTGCCGACTAGGATGGTCGGTTAATCGGAGGTCGGATAATTGAGGCTCTACTGTAGTTATATGGAAAGTCTAAAACTAACATGTCAGGGCCTGGATTCACAAACATCTTGTAATATATGATATAGTTTCTGGTAACTTTAAGTCAGATAGATACTAACAATATATATTTTGTATTTCCAAAACATGTAGCATTTATGACAAAACAGAAGAAACTGGTTAATGAGTGTGTTGTTTTATGACATCACTAGTGACTGCTTCTGTTTTAATAGAGCCAATCAGAACACTTTATGATTTTTTTTAGCATTGTTTGTTTGCAATGTCTGAGAAAATAACCCAATTTAATTTTATTAGAATTAAAATGCTTCATAGATGGCATGCAAAGAAGAAAAGGATAAAGCATAGAAGAAAACCATAACAGATCTCTATGCATGCAATGGAAACTTCCTATAATTGATAACAGTAGAAATATTAAAGAAGTTTGAAAGAAATGACAAACTAATAGTTTTGGTTAAAAGAAAGATAACAAAATTATAATGAATGAAAACTTTTTATATGACATTCTATAAACAGATGTAATTCCACCATGAGGAATTCTATTAATTTCTATAATAATAATTATAGAAGTTTAGAATCAGAAATATTTGAAAGAGACAATTGAGAAAAACGATCAACTTGATTATCTATCAATAGAACTAAATAGTCAGACACCACCTTTCTGAGTACATTGGCTTACAAGAACTATTAGACATTGTAGTACAGTAGACCCCCCTATAACGCAGTAGATACGTTCCTCGTTATACGAATTTTGTGTTGTAGGAATCCTTAAATACGTGAGCCAATCACAGCCCGACACGTGAAGTTTAGGGACTACGGCTGTTTGAAAGGTTTTCTTCCATAAAATTAATCGATTCTAGACTAATTCGACTTAACATTTCCAAAACATATAATTTTTTGGGAATAATCCGTATTAACTATGCTATAAACAAAAAATTGTAGGATTACTTACCGAGTGTGCACCGTTTGACATCGCCATTGCTTAAGCTTGTTTTTGTCGCGGAGCAGCACACCAAACGGCAGCCGCAATTTCTGATGTTATTTTTCTGCGAAAAATTCGTTGAACTTTGGAGACATCATTAATAGAAATAATTTTTATCGCCGTTGAATAAGAAATGTTTTTTTCATAAGAAATGTATAAAATTACAGTACTGTATTAGACTTACGGTACCTAATTTACATACTGTACAGACAATAGTAAACTCAACTTACTCACCTAAACTCTCCGTAGCGTGGCGCTGGACGGCGGAAAGTATATATATAATTAAAATAAAGTTAAAATAAGTTAATATTGTACAGACGATTATAATACTGTACAGACGATAGTAAACTTAACTAACCTGTCTAAACTCTCCGTAGCATGNTGGAGTCGGATTTCCCTGATAGTAAACTCAATTTACCCGCCTAAACACTTTGTAGCGTGGCGCTGGACGGCGGAAAGTAGTTTGGCTGCTTGTCTGCGATGACGAGTTGGCGATGACATTTTACCGCATTTTACGCATCCCTTTTAGTGTCTTTGTATGAATATTGTTGCAATTTTTCACCATGTTATAGGAATCTTCGTTATAGGAACCCGCGTTATAGGGGGGTCTACTGTATTTATGATACTTTTTACAATATCATAACATATGATGTGCTTTGAGAATACAAGACTTTTTGTATTTGACAACTTATGAGGAATTTCATCATAAATTACAATATGGGGTATTTATTAAGGATGCACTGATAAGCAAAATGATTGATTAATCGGTTATGCATTATTGGCTGATACTGATTAATCGGC